AATGGGCAGCGACTCTGGCTCCCACCCTGGTCCATCCTGTTTCTTATTGTTTTTTCTAGCTTAAAGTCAAGTTGATATTGGCTGGCATTTTTCATATGCATGCATTTGCACACATAGCTGCCCCGCACCCCTTGGAGGTCCAATAATGCAGAGGGTAGGAAAATAGGATGCTCAAGAAGTGCCTCAGCTTGGGTCAGCTGGAAGAGAAAGATATTGCAGATCTTCAGTAACTGGTTTTCAGAAGCCCTCCAAGTACCTATTAAAATTCACTACCACAGTTACATGGGCCACCACAGAAATCTTAATGTGGCCGTGTGGGGATGTGCAGCAGAAGCTCTGACAGCAACTGTCTGCTTATTTACTTACAGAAAATAATTTATGCTCCTACGTTTGCTGTCAGCTCCAGTTTTTCTTTCTTAATTTATACCTCTGGAGGAGTTCTTTTCTCATCGACTAGTAGAAACTACTCTCCTGATTTAGACCCCAAGGTTAAATATCCAAAGTTATGTAGTACCTTGATGTCTCCCTACTTAAACTGCCCTGCTCCTTTTTGGAAAGATGCACTCCACCCCCAGGTTTCATACTGTGTCCAAGGGATGCTTGTAAACCATTAGAGAGGTTTTTTTGTATCGGTACAAAAATACCATCAGATTAATCTGGCAAAGTACTCCTAGTGTGGACACATCTGGCAAAGCTGTACCAGTATTGGAAAACCTCTTCCCATAAGCAAAACAAGTTCTACCAGTAGAAGCATGTGTTTGTCACTGTAACTGGAACAATGGCTCGGGGCAGGATTGGAGTGAGCTCTTATCTGCCACGATCTGGAAAAGAGGGTGGATAGTGAGGTGGCAATGTTTGCTATTGATAGTAAGCTATTAAGGGTAATAAAAATGAAAGCTGACTGCAAAGACTTGCAGAAGGCACTCACTATAGTTAGGAGTGAGGCAATAAAAGAGCAGACGAGATTAATTTAGATAAATGTGGAGTGTTGTGCATGGGAAAAACTCCTAACTGTAGATGCCAGTTGATAGACTGTGAGTTAGCTGTGCCTGTTCAGGAATGAGATCCCGGAGTTGTAATAGCTCCGTGAAAACAGCAGCTTGTTCCTTGATAGCAGTGCAAAACCAATCAAACATCAGGAGTTATTAGGAAAAAAGAGGAAAAACAGAGCCATACGAATTCACTAGTTCTGCCTTTCCTTCTCAGAAAGGGTATATTAGAAATAAGAAGGTACCGAAGTTACAAGGATAACCCAAAGTATAGGACAATTTCTAGATGTTTGGGACTCCCTTGTCAGAAACGGGAGTAAGTGAGAGGATATGACAGAGGTGCTGACAACCATGAATGCCCTCCAGTGAGTTGGCAGGAAACAGTTTGGGCTGTTTGTTTCAATACAAGACCTATGGGACATCCAATATGATGAGGTGGTGCCAGGGTCCAGGCAGGCGGAGGGGGTGGTCATAGTTAAACCGTGGAACTCGTTGCCGCATGATGCTGTACGTGCTAAAAATTTGCAAGGTAAAAAGCAATTAAACATATCTCAGGAAGAAAAATCCATTGGCAGCTATGAAATGCAAACACCCCAGCTCTGTCTCAGGAGATCCCTAAGCTACAAACAGCTGGCAGTTGGTGGGAAATACAAAGGATTTATTCCTATGTGTTTACCTCATTCCCACCCTCTTCCCCATGTACATGCTGTCAGCCCAAGCTGGAGATGGGACGCTGAGACAGACTGACCTTTGGGCTGTCCCACTGCAGGAATTCTTAAGTTTAGGATAACCCTAATTTACGTCACCTTTATTCAGATATAACGCTGGGATCATGAGGTGAAGCTGTATCGCAGTAAAGAATCAAAGTAAAAGTGAGGTTCTCCTGCAAGAAAAGTAATCTATACTTCAAAAATAATTACACTGAAATAAAAATTTTTTAAAAAGCGTACAGTGGAAAATTGGAAATTAAAGAAATAGTCGTTTGAGCATTGGAAAAGCGTCATGGAAGTATTCCTAATAATTTTCTGCTCCTGTCTGTCATCAGCCTATTTCACATGCCATCTTAGCTTTCAGTCACTTGCAAACCATGTCTCACATTTTGAAAGTTCGCATGATGCAAAAAGCCCATGAAAATATGCTAATTGGACCGGCTCATTTTTCCAGCTCCTCAGAACGGGGAAGAATACTTCAACTCCACTTACTTCTCACAAGATAGCCGTCTGCCCCTACCCTGACCATTTCAGTTACTCAGGGTCATCCTCCCTCAGATAGCTTTAGGAAGAGGCACAGGGCTGGCACACACTGTGAGCGATCTTGCAGGCAGACCCATGAAGGTACTACTGGTTCTTTCTAATACAGCTGCTTCTTCTCCAGCCCTAAACTTTCCAGCCTAACGCCTGCACTGGCGGGTCTTCTGGATGCTATTAAGGTTTGTTAGACAGCTCTTAGGCTTCACCCCAGAGTTAGCTGCATTTTGATGCTGGGCAATGGATCGTCAAGTTTAGAAGCAAACACCCAGAGTGCTTTCAGAAGAACTACAGAAACTAGGTAATTAATTATTAAGAAGTAATTAGCAAAGAAAGAGGTTTACTTCAAAGCAGGGATTTAAAATTTCACTGGAAGACTGGTGTTCTTCCCTGTAGAAGCTTGTAAAGAAATGCGGAGTTGCTGATAGTGCCAAACATGCACATAAACACCCGCGTGTTGGTTGTGGATTTGTGAGACATTTAAGGACAGCAGGAGGGAACTGTACAGCTGATATCCATCACTTGCACAAAGAGCTGACTAAATAGCCTAGATCCGAGATACCACCGAGTGGTCATTGCAATGACTGGAAATGGAAAGTCAAGAAAGGAGTTGCTCTCGGTTTCTCTCCTAGCCCGACTGTCTGGCCAGGAGGAGCTGTGGTGCTCCAGGCCTGATGAGAAAGGACCGGTGACACTTCCCACAAGCGTGTGCTCGTCCCAGCTGCAGCTTCACACGCACCGAAGAGCGAGGACGTTGGAGAAACACCTCTGCTGCTGGACGCTGGATGGCTGCTTGGCCTCATTGGGGCGGAAGTGGCTTCCATTTAAGGAGCTGGAGAGGTTCTTGGCAGGGATTGCAGCAAAGCATCCCAAACGCTGGGTCCCGTTGGCAGAAAGGCCGGGGGCAGCTCAAGCTCGTGCTTTGGAAGTGCCTTCTTTTGTCAGCTTGAGATTTTCCAGAATTTCAAAGCGGAAAGAAAGAGAGGGGTACGAGGAAGCTATTAAAGATAGGTAAAATAAACTTGAAGGGGGGGGGGGGGGGGGTTTTCTTCTATTAAAGATAGGTAAAATAAACTTGAAGGGGGGGGGGGAAGCGTGTTTCATTGAGAAACCACGCACTTTATTCGAGGGAAGGATCGGTGAGTGCTTATTATTTTAACAAAGACTTTTTCTGTCGTGAACAAGCAAAGCAGATGTTTAAAAAACGGACAGGAAGCGGCTGTGACAAATGAAAGGATTTTTGATTGAATTCATGAGCTGTGTTTCCTGCCAGTAATTCATTCAGCTGTAGGCTAGATCAAAACATAATATTACGGTTTAATCAGCACGCTTTTTAACACGAAGCCAGAATATACAAGCTCTTGGTGCTACAGGTAAAAAGCCATTAGTACAGTTGGCTCAAAGGCTTTTTTTTAATTCATTATTCATTCTTTTTCTTTTAAGCAAATACGTTGTCTATCAGCAAACACCTGAGAACTCCTAGAGAGCTGTGTTTTGGAGTTTGCACAAGCAGGTGTAGAAAGGGTAAAGCACTTTCAGGGCATGGCAGATGAAATAGGCTGCCTAAAAGTACAATTCGGCTTCTGTGCAGTTTGAGAAAGCTCAGCTTCCTACCGACTGCAAGGAGCATTAGATCAAGCTGGTTATCCTTGGAAAAAAAAGCCTGGCATAAGGATTTTTTTTTTTTTCTCAGCACAGTTCTGAAAAAGCAGCATTTGTGTGTGCATGCAGGCACATGCGCACATGTGTTAATTTTCATGTTTTCTGCTTCTCTTCCTTCCTCCTAATGAATTCTATTTGTTTACAGCCTCAAGGAAAGCTTGTCACTAGAAATTTCCTTTTGAGTTTTCAGCTTGAGATTTCACAACCAGAGAGCCATTGCAACACAGTGATAAACAAGCTGAGGGAGGCAACTCTGGAGAATTGAGGCTTCTCTTTTTCACCCTTTAGTTAAGTAAATAGTTACCAAATGTGCCGAGAGATAGAGAACTTTATCCCTAGCTGTAATGTGTATTAGCAAAAGTGGATTTTTTTCCTATCCAAAAACTTAGAGTAGACACAGGAACTGTTTTGAACAGCTTATCCTTACACTACTCCTTGTCAGAAAGGGTCGGATGCTGGGCTGTGTTCCTGGGACACAGCACCAGGCTGCAGGCTGTATGGGAGCAGGGAGAATGGAAAAGAGGCATTGCAAAAGCTGCCTAAAGCTCAGGGTCACAGTTCTCGATTTGCACAACGCAGGACCTGGCTGAAGCCGAGAAATGATAACCAGGATATGCCCCACGCACAGATACCGGCTGCCCTCCATCCCCCTTGGCCAGGCTTTTGGAGGAGGGATGAGGACACTAAGGCATCCTCTGCCAGGTTTACTCCTCTGCAGGGGTGCAGTCAGCAGGGCTTGGCTGCTGGGGGGTCTGGGTCCCGTGCTGGACCCAGTGTCCCCTGTGCAGGTCTTGGTCCTTGGATTAAGCACAATGGCCATCTATGCATCCATAGATGTGCCGTGATAACCAGGCAGGCTTTCTCTGCTGCATTTAATCCATTGTAAAGTTTCTACAGGTGACCCTCTCATCATATAAATGTATTGGGGGAAGCCTTGCAGCCATGATTTCCAGGGTGCTCTGGGATAATGTGGATAAAGGCTGCTTTCCGGAGGTTGGGATGAAATTCTAGGGCACAGACTTTCCTTGCTGCAAAAAAAAGTACAGCTTTGGATCAACCAAAACTTTTTACCAATGCTTGTGAAATTTAGCAAGTGGTTTTGGCGACGGCAGAGCAGGCATATCTTGACATTTTCGAAATAACTGAAGCGGTTTGTTTTTTCACTAGGAAACAAAGTTTTGTTTTGAAATTTGTCTCAGCTTTGTAATAATAAAGAGCAGTAAGAAAGAAAAATCCTTCCAGGGAAACAAAAATGTTTCAATTTAAGTTGAATTAAGATTTTTCTGTTCAACCCAAGTTGAATAGAACTTTTCACTTCAAGGAAGAAAAAAAGGGGCTTTAGGCCACCAAAACCAAAAAAAGGCTGTCTAAGGAGTAATAATAAAAAAAAAAATATTTGCCTATTTCTGTTTATTCGGGTGTGCAGTATAATTACTGATATGAGGAAACATATCACATGTGGAGGGCCAGATCCCTCACTCATGCAGAGAAGACACATAACACATTTAAGGACTTACACACTAGACCAGTTGAGCTAAGGAATAAAGACAGGGGAACTAAATGTACCTTCCCTCTCTTTAGTAGTAGAAAACAGAGGAGCTGCCTCATCTGTTCAGCGTACAACCTGATCCCACATCAGAGCAGCTAAAGAAGGTGCAGTGAGATCTGCTGCCAGCCAGCTGTTTGGGGCAACTCGAATCATAGAATAGTTTGGGTTGGAAGGGACCTCTGAAGGTCATCTAGTCCAACCCCCCTGCTGTGGGCAGGGACATCTTCAACTAGATCAGGTTGCTCAGAGCCCCGTCCAACCTGACCTTGAATGTTTCCAGGGATGGGGCATCCACCACCTCTCTGGGCAACCTGTGCCAGTGTTTCACCACCCCCATTGTAAAAAATGCCTTCCTTGTATCTAGAGGTTTGAAAATGATTTGAGTTTTCCAGTCTCCCAACCAAGGCATGGCGTGCACTAATCCTCTCTGTGGTGTAGCTGAGGAGGAGGCTCCCCAGGTCCTTTTGTCCCATAGAGCACCTTCACCACCAGAATTGTGCCCAGTAAGTGGCGGCTTCTTGGTAAACAGTATAATCATTAAATGTCAGCTACTGCTTAGGGTTTAATTGCTTTTGAATTTTAGCAAGCAGCTCCTCATTCATAGCAAATTGGCATTTCGTACATTCAAGATTGTGCTATTAGCTGCACAATAGAGAGGCTGGTTTTCTGTAAATATTGAAATTTGGTAATTAAAACCCGGCAGTTATTAACACTCCACGGCAGATAAATGCTTCAGCTGCTGAATCTGCTGTGGGCAAACCTTCCGGAAAGAGCGTCTTATCAGTGAGTGGAGGAAGGCTCTAGCTGCCATACTCCATTAACACCACGTTAATGAGCCAAGAGCCCACGCACCACAATGAAAACATACCCTGAAGTGTAGCAGATGGGCTCAGAAGCCAAAGCCACACAATGGGGAAACCTCGGAAATCATAGCTAAATTCAATAGAAAACAAAAGCTGGGCAGCTTGGCCCTCCTTGTAGTAAACATCCCAGAGTAACAGGCAGTCTTGGGTCTTACTGGGTGAAATTGTGGACTTTCCATTGACTTCAGGAGGACCCAGGTCTCATCTGGTTACAGGCAGTATGTCAAAACCCATCTATAAACCACTGCTGAGCGCCTGAGCTCTGCACCGGCATCTCCAGTGAAATCCTTCAGCGATGCTCACGGAGGACTTGTGATTCAGTCCTTCGTATAACTGCACTGCTAACCCACAGCAAGGCTTCATGCATCTTGTTGCTAAAGCTGCTTAAAATAAAATAAACAAAAGTGAGTTGACAAATGTGACTGAATCAGTGTGGGGTGAAGCACTAAGACATTAATCATGTAAATGATTAACAAGTGTCTATTAGTCATATGTGAACGACACTTCCCCACATACTAGTAAAAGTGCTACAGCAGCTTTCATAATAGTAATGATGTCATAGCAGAAAAAGCCCTCACCCTTAAATGTATTTGCTGGGAGGCAATGGCTATTGCACATGGTTTTTAAGAATTTATTCTTTTACAGACTAGTGTTAAGTCTGTTAACCTTCCTACCAGCGCTACATCATTCTACCTCATTGTCGTTAGTAAGGATGTTATATACGTGAAGCACAAAATTAAAATTAAGTAGCTTTCAGTTGTATATGCCAGACAGAGCAAATGCATCTTTGAAGTACTTTGATAAAGCTGTGTGTAACTACTGTTTTGCTAGTGCTGTGGTTTGTAGGGCAGCAGTACTAGTATCAGTATGAGCATTCTGTATGCCAGCCTGGTAAAATTTCCCCTATTGCTCCTTGTGAATGCAAAATGATTTCAAATGGAGGACGACACTGCATGTTTTCCAGGGGTTTTGATACGGCCAGGAATTTTTTGGACAAAACTGCTTACCTACCAGGTTTTGATACAGCGGTCATTGGGAAAGGCTTTTTGGTCAAAAATGCAATATCCAGTCATCCAGAGGGATGCTATTTGCATCTTACATCCCTGCCCTGGTCTCTGTGTCAGTGTGCCCAGGGAAAAGGCAAGTGAGCCCCTGCGGCTCCCACTGCATGGTGATCTCTGCACCGTGGAGATCCTCGACTCCATATGTGCCTGCTCGGAAAAAGAGCTAGAACCAGGGAGCAATCATACAAAAAGGCCTTATTAAAACGGGGTAGGGAAGGGGTAAGGACTCCAAACCTGATCCTCCAAAGGGGCCTCCTGCTCAGGGTCGGTCTGGAAAGTGAGGCACTTGGTAGAGCAGAACTTGGCCAGAGTTCATGGTGCCAGCGCTGGCAAGATGGGAACGCAGCCTCAAACACATGCTTCCAGTTTCCAGTGGCCAAGAAGAGATTTTGTTTAATAATACAGATGCCTGTATTAAATATATTAAAGTGATAGTTAGCTCTGTGATCTTCCGCATCAGACCTGCCAGACAGCAGAGACTGTAAGGCACCTTCACCATGCTGTTCTGATACAGGGTTCTTGTCAGGGCCATTTTCTGATTAGGCAAAACTTTCTTTCCCTCCCTCTACTGCAAACAGGGCTTGTCACCTGTTTCTCATCTGTTTTCATTGTAGAGGAGGCGTAATTGGTACATCTGGGCATTATTGGAGAAAAGGCTTGGCTGAAGCCATAATGGGGTAATTATAGACTGAACTGAGCCATGCCAATGTGTTGTAAATACATTTGCCTCTGAGTGTGTGATACTGTCATGTGTCCATTCAGATGGCTTTTTTGGGAGAGGGAGGAGAAAAAGGGGCAGGGTGAAAAGCTAACTATGCCTATCCTATGTATGTGCAGTAAACCTTGAAGATACAAAAATCCTACCTTCACAGCAGAAAAACAGTGTGCCCCGGTGTAAAATGGACCAACGGCTTATTTTCCAAATAGCTTGTTTTCCTGGGGATTCAATTATCCCGTGTATGACAACTTAACTTGCTTCTTGGTCTTTTGTAACTGCAAGGAGACACCAAACCAAAATAGCTCGTTTTCACTGTTTTGGTGGTGCTCTCTGCTAAATAGCAACACATGACTGCTGGTACACTACAGAAGCCAGTGACCTCATGTAAAGCGTGACGGCAGGCTCTGGCAGCAGCCTGCACTGTCTGAAGGAAAGGGGAAGATGGTACAAGGAACCAGAAACCTCAAATGGCGCTCGCTTGTGTGTGTGTGTGTGTGCGCGCGCAAACTTGCAGCCCTCCCTCCCAGAGGTGACACTTCCAGTGCAGGAGAAAGTGTTCAAAGCCTCAGTGGTGTTTTACATCATTGGTGCATGGCACATCACAGAGTCACACAGTGACAGAACAGCTGAGGTTGGAAGGGATCTCTGGAGGTCATCTGGTCCAACCCCTCTGCTCAAGCAGTTGCCCAGGACCATGTCCAGGCGAATGGACCATGTCCATTGCACTGAGCTGGTAGCATCTGCTTTGTGTCATGGCGTGTGGGTGCAGTTCTGCCTAGCCCAGGTGGATGTTAAAGTTCAGAGGGTTTTGCCTTGAGGGAGATTGCAAGCACCACCGTGTGTGTTACTGCTGTTGTAGTAACTGAGCCAGCCCCATACAAAACTGCATGGGTAGTGGGACTTGGATCTTTGGCAGTCTCTTGGCATGTCATTGCTATGCTGTAGGTAGAGAGGTATTGGATTTCAGAATATAGGGGAAGGATAAGCCTTCTGGAGTTGGGCATACTTCTGGGGTCACTCTGGCCTCCAGCCCATGTCTCTTCCATAGCTGGTGTACTGCATTTGCAGGGGGACACCGCGGTCAGAAAGGGGGTTTTCCCAGGGTGAAGCTCATCCTCCACATCCCATGGTGTGCCGTACCCTGCAATTTCTCCAAATGCAGGAAACTTAACTGCGTATCTTGGGGTAGTGGCAGTTTGTGTTCATATTCTTCCCTGTTTTCATTTTTTGCGTGAAATTGTCATACCTCTGATCTGTAGTGAGCAACAAATTATCAAAAATATTAAAATAGATGGGTATAATGGTCTTATCTTGTACATATGGAAAAATCCAGAATGGGAATGGGGAGAGATTTAGCCACGACACAGGCAAAAGTGGCATCTGCAGAAGGCAGAAGACAGAGCAGAGCAGAGCGGCATTGGCACTGGACCTCTGCAAGCTCCACACCAGTTGAATATCCAGCTTTATTTCCATAGCCAGAGACTACCATTTCTATTTCTTTCTTTTACCTTTTTTTCCTATCAGGGAAAAGTTACGTCCTTTTGGGCTTGACTAAAATGGAGTGATCTGTTCATTTAGCTGCTGAGAAGGGAAATTAACTTCATTCTTATCCGTCTACCTTATTAGCACAAATATTGCGGCTGCATTATCCTATCCCACATAAAACCCTGTACAGTAGAGCCTTTTAATTGTCTGGCTAATTGTTTGGCCTCGAAGCTGTCTATTTCCGATTGTCTAATTCTCATTAGAATGCCAGCTGACACCGAGTCCTCCAAAGCTCCCTTTAGCTGCTTTTAACCACTTCTGGACTAATTTGGTGGTGTTGAAAGCACTTACAGAAAGGCAACCAACAATAAGAAACACAGTGCAAATGTTTCTCTTCTCTAATGCATTCAACATTTTAAATCTTGGCCATAAAGGAGTTTTGATGCTGGTTTAAATGCATGTATCCCTACAGAGTCACAGCATTGTCATTAGTGTTCAGAAGTGTGTAAAATACGTGGACTGAAAATCTAGGCACAAATGCTTCAGTCCTTGATCTGAAATATCTCCTTCTGAAACCAATGGGGTTTTTCACCCTATGAATAAGGAATGAATCAGGATTGCAGGGTGCAGGCCCCCAGTGAGAGAAAGGATCCGTCTGTATTACAGTGCTCTTTGTTAACCCTACATTAAGCATTTCTGAGGACAGCCTACAAAACCTGAATGAGACTAAATCTTGCGTTCATACTCTAAATTCAGTGCCATATATTGTTGCCATATAGCCTTTTTTTCACTTTGTGATACTTCAGCACCCATTTCAGAATCTGACTTAGTCCATAGCCACAGTTAGAAAATTTTCCTGTTGTCTGTTCCCTCAGTTATCTTTTTTGAACAGTTCTCAGCAATCTGATGAATCACTTGAGACTGGCCAAAGCTTGTCCCATGTTGCCATCAAACTGAACAAACACAAGCAGGTAGGAAAACTCAGTGAGGCAGGACTCCCTCAGAGTCATGTTTCCCACCACTGCTGCCCTGAGAGAAGATGCGGGGAAAAAATGTGTTCTTGCCAGGTTTTGAGTGACATTTGATAACCTAAAACCTAGAGGGGGATTAAAACATGGCCAGCTACTGAAACTGGAGGGTATAGATCTGTTGAGGGTTTATTATCAGTTTTAGCACTGGATTCCTTGATCACAAATACAGGAGAAGAGTAGGAAAGGCTTCAGTGCTGCAGTGGCGGAGGGTTTACCGGCTTCCTGCAGATGGGGGGACCTCTTGCTTAACTAGGGAGCCTTGGCCATTGGGAGCCAGTGCCCCAAGGCTCCCTTTTGCTGCATCCTACCAGCTCATTAGGCAGAACGAAAGGTTTCAGGGAGCCTTAACGCTTGGGAGGCTGTCCACAGGCTTTCCCAGCTTCTCCCTCCAATGCAGCCCAGCGAGCAGATGGGCAGAGATGAGGGAAGCCCTGGCAGCCTCTCTGCTACCCCGTAACAGGAGGCATCGCACCTGTCGGCCAGGGCACCCTGGACACCCAGCACCCAGGTCACCCCTCTCTGGCAGCCACAGCAGTGTATTTTCAAAGCATCGCATTTGACAGCTTCCAAAATGAAATACTGTGAGATTGCTGCTTTGCAAAAATGTGGCATTTGGGGATTTTCCTCACAATTCTTGGAGAAAAAAGTTTGGAAGGATCACGTATGAAGTTCATGAATCTCCTGCATGTTGTCCCAGCCCACCCCATGACTTGCCTTGTGTTCTTCTCCTGAACATCTCAGCACCGCTGTCCCCCAAGATACGTTAACTGCCTACTGCATTGCTATCTACAGCCAAAGCTGTTAATGATATTTCCTGCCGGCAAGGGCAGCTGAGCCCTATGTCTGGCATATACAACTTCTGTATATATATATATATATCTCTTGTTCGGAAGATGTAGTAGAAAAAATTTGTATCAACAGTTTCTTCTTATGTGAAAGATAAAAGGAGAAGGAGAATAGATCTTCTCTCATCTTGCAGCTTGGGGTGCCTGTTCCAAAAACAGGTCCTGGAGACCACAGCCAGAGCGATCATGGTTCAAAGAGCAATACAAGGCCACCGATTCAGCCTGACACCTCTTCTTCCCATCCTGAGATGGGGCATTTCCTACATTTTTCAATGCAGTTCCACTGCCCTGATAGACTTCATTCCCCAAGCATCCTTTTTTAAAAATACTTGACCTGCTTTTGCCGTGGATTTCTCCTCCTCATTTTCTTGCTTTCTAGAAAATCACAGTGTTCTCCCCTGACATTTTCTCCTGTCTCATGGAAGAGGAGACCGAGTTTCTGTTGTCTCCTTCAGCTGTGAACACAGATGGAATTTATGGCTTTTTGGGTTGTATTTGTAACTGTTTTAAAAGCATGGCAAATGTCATCTACAAAAACTCCTGTTAAGCTGTTTCTTTCCCCAGGCACTGCACGCTTCGCAACTGCTGCAGCACACAAGGCAGGGGTCCTCGGCTTGGTGTGAATTACTGCCTTTGTAGCTATAGACACTTCTATGCATTGTTCAGGGATTTACCTGAATGTGACACTTACTTGAATCATACACTTCATGTGAGCCACATGCTTTCCATGTAGAGCAACCACACACCATCACTCTCACCTATCTCACACAGGCATAGGTTAAAAATGGAAGAAAATGCCACGTATTGTCTATTGTATGCATTTTTCAGGTTTGTGCCTGCATTTAAACTTCTAATTGCCTTTAGGTCTTACAGTCTTGTAAACTTTTTTGGCTTTGTCTTTTGTAGATTTTTTTAATTGATTATGACTCAGTTCTCTAGCCTGAATTTTTCAGATATCCACAAGTATCTGATGAATTTTTCCTTGTAGCCTAGGTTCCTAAGGAAACAAATCTCATCCAGTTGTGTTTCTTGTCTGTAATAACTTCTGGGCAATTTTTCAGCCAAATTTGATAGAAGGTTAAAGGTCGGCAACACATAAGTTCCTGCAGTTTCCATGAAAATTAGTCTGGTTAGAAGAAAAAGGAAGAAATTAAGCTGGCAGTGGAGGAAAGGCAGCTGTCACTCAGCTTTCAGTGGCAGCAGCCAACTACCTAGCCAGCCAGCAGGATCTGGCCACAGCAGTTTGTCCCACCAAACAGGCTGGGAACGTGAGAGGGAGTTGAGCAAACTGCTGTTTGGTGGTGGTATTTTGAGGACATTGGGCACCAACCCTTAAGAAACTGGAGTTTACCAGATCCATTGCTCATGGAACGACTTTATTAAATAGGAAGGCTAAACAAACATTTTCCTTCCTCCTGATTGTGTGTCATTTCTTTTCAAGCCAACACTTCTGAAAACAAGGGTCTAATGTTAGCACAGCTTCCCCAGAAGAGGTTTCCAAGACTCTTTGCTCCCAGCAGCTCTTACTGAAATTAATGGGAGCTGCTGAGGCTCAGTGCTTCCAAAAATAAAAACACTTTGCCAGTGGTACAGATGCAGATGTCTAAATTTAAGCTGTAGTTTTTGAGCATCTGGGGTCTAAATCCATGTCTGAGCACTTCAAAACAAGTGGCCTGATTTTTTTTGTAGGTACTGAACAGCCTTACTGAAGTCAAGGGACTTACAGGCTGTACGGATCAAACTATATTTGGAAGTCAAGGGGTAGATATAGGTAGCTGAAATTTAGGCACACAAATTGGAGCACATGGGCCGTGCACCTGAGAGCGGAGGTTTTCAAAGCGTTCAGCCTTGGCAGAAGTGATCTTATTGAAGTCGCTGGAGT